GTATTTAGCGCTGCACCATTTATTTAGTATATATGTTCGATTTGGAGGTATTACTTGGTTACCTTTTCGGTGTATCAGCTGCTCACTAACGTTTTTGTGTATACACATCGATACACTTTTTGTATTTAAGTCGTGCTCACTATAACATCTTTTATTACTATTATTATTTATTATTATACAGGATTTATATAGCGCCAACAGTTTGCTCAGCGCTTTACAATAATGAATGATACCATGAAAATACATGATCAGTGCACATCAAAAACACAAGGTGAAGGTAGGAAGATTTAAAATGCCTTTCAGTTCATCTCTGCTTGTAGTCTTTGGACTACAGGAGACATGGCCATGACTGTCTGCAGGCCATGAATGGAGGGAAAGATAAGCATTCCTCCCCCCTCGAACTGTACCAGGCCATATAACCTCCCTGGCAAGGCATTTGTCCCCATAATGATATGGAAAGGGGCCTCTTCCCTACAATTCTGACAAGACGGTTGTGGGGGTCTGAAGGCAAGGGCGAACCATAATTTGAAAGATTTCTATCAATAAGGGGACCCCCAGGTACTGCCCTCCCATGTGAATGAGTAAGAGCTACATAGTGCCCCTACTCATTCCCCCAGAAAAATGTAAAGTAGGTTGGGCTGCATGTGTCTTTTTTTCAACCAAACTAGCTATGTAATAAACACAGACACAGTTTCTGACAAGAACTTTATTAGAAAAAAAATCCCAAAATGTGCAGATAACCTCATTCAAATCATCCAGTGGTGTACTGTATATCAATGTCAATCATGACGCTCAAAGCTCGCACACTTGCCAAAAGAGAAAAAACCTGTGGACACACATCTGGTCCCGTTGTTTCACTACTGCAGACAAATAGTTCCTTCATATAACAGCCAATATAAGCAAAGGATGGGGTCTGCTTGGTGATGTACAGTAGAAGTCACCTATGTGTTGGAGGGGGTGTGGGATTAAGGGCACAATGGCACATATATGGTGGGATTGCTCCAAGATACAGGAGTACTGGGAAGAAATAACTCACCAAATACAGGAGATTTTGGGGACTAGTATCTCAAAGGATCCTGGAATATGCTTATTCCATAAAACTGATATTTCAGTGGAAAAATACAAGAATATGATAATATTCAATTTGATAAATGCAGCAAAGGGATTAATACCTACATTTTGGTAAGCTCAAGACGCACCAAAAATAAAAGATTAGATAGGGTGGATTACATATATAGTATGGAGGAAACCTACCATATTGCAGCACATAAAATTGAGAAATTTAAAAGAACATGGGAAAAATGGAATGGGTTTAAAAGTTCAAATAGATACGTTGAACTAGTAGGAGAATGAGGAGAAGAAAGAATAATATCTAAAAAGATAGGGAAAAGAGAATTAAGAGGAAAGGAAGGAAAAGAAGGAATATACAGAGAGTATAGGAGAGATAGGAGGAATGGGAAAAAAAGGGAAAAATGGAATTTTGAAATTATTAGTAATGTGACGATTTATTTTTTGTGATGTGGAAATGAATAAAATATTAAATAAAAAAACTAAAATAAAATAACAGGAGTCTACTAACCTGTAAGTGCCATCTAATATTTCCTATTAGTACTAGTAATATTGTAACTGGGATAATGAGTGCTAACAGGGTTGAAGGTTTTGTGCAGTGCACAATGTGCCACATGTATGCAACAATGGAGAAACAGCTCCAGGATGGATACTGCTGTGACAGATGTGAGCGGTATGCCCTTCTGGAAACTCGTGTTACAGATCTGGAGGAGCAAGTTGCAACACTGGGCAGAACAGGCAACCTTGAAAGGGGTCTTCTGTTCTCTGAGCAGGTAGCTAATGGGATTGATGTGGAGGGCGGACGGGCTAGTCAGGATTATCATGGGAGGAAGATGGGTTACTGTAGCGAGAGGGAGTGGTAGGGGCTCACAGAAAAGGAAGGCCGGCCCTGGGTTTGAGCACCCAAACAGATTTTCCAAGTTGGGTGCAGGGGTGGACTGACCATTTGGAAACTCGGGCACTGCCCGAGGGCCCAGGGTCAGTAGGGGACCCCATGAGATGCCCCTGGTACCTTTTTCATAGGCTTTTTTGAGTTTGGGCAAGGACACAGGGCCCCATGATCCCCTATTGCCCGGGGCCCCATTGTCAGGGCAGGAACGCTGGAATGGGCAGGCAGGCCTATGGTACGGTCACGCTGCGACTGACGACAGCCACTACCCACAGACCAGAGTCCCTCAGGGCGCGGAGTCTAAGCCCCAGGCTACCCTTCACCAGGGCCCCTGATGGTGGGGATGGACTTGACGCAGCCTGAGACCAGGTCGCGGCCCCCGAGTGACCCCAGCTGCGATAACGACTGCCGCCAATGGCGTACAGCTGGTGGGAGCTAGATGGGAACACGAGTAGAGTAGTCAGACAAGCCGGGTCAATAACAACGGAGCAGACAGTACTAGACGGTAGGCAAAGAATACTCAGGTCACGGGCCGGGTTCAGCAACGGGAGGTCAGATAAAGGGTTAACGCAGAGAGTAGTCTTGTCCAAGCCGAGTCGGTTACCAGGAGAGCAATGGGAACAACACAAGAGCTTGCAACAGGGCAACATACAGGACACAAGTGCAGCGCACACTTGCAGACAGGAGGTTTAAATGTGCTCAACCACACCCCCTTCTGAGGAGGAGCCGCAGAAGCCTGAAGGCATAAAGGTTCCCACCATGCTTTGCAGAAAACCAAGATGGATGCCAGCTCATGGAGATGCACAAGCTCTGAAGAAAGGTAGGACCTTGACACCCATGAGTTGTCAGTCCGCTCCTGGTTGGGTGAAGATGTGAGTGTGGCAAGCTCAGGGGTGGCAGCCCTGGATGTCACTGCTATCCCTAACAGCTGGGAGGGCAGACTATCTGGGAGGGGTGGTGAGGGTAGTGCAGGAAGACCTAGACAGTTGGTGGTAATAGGGGATTCTATGATCAGAAGGACTGATACAATAATTTGTAGCCGGGATCGCAAGGAGGAGTGCTAACTGACCCTGATGGTATCTGATGTCACAGTGATCAGTGAAAAATACTACAGTATATACAGACACTGTACTAATGGCACTGGCTGGGTGAGCAAAGGGTCAATAGGGGTGATCAAAAGGTTAAATGTGCCTAATCTAACATGTGCAAATGTGCTGTATATACTGTACTTACTGATAAAACACCATAGTGTGTCTCTTTTATCCCTAGGGTTCAGGAAGGGAAGATATAGATTGATTTACAATTACAGGCACAGCTCTGCTTCTCCATTGTTTGCAGGAGATCAGCAGAGTCCAAAAATCATTGGCCGGGACCCACTGATGAACACCTCCTGCAACGAATAACAGGGGGGTCAGTGGGGGGGGCATGTGCACTCATAACCTGGAAGTCACAGGTATAGAGGTATGTCGCTTTGCCTGAAGAGGCCACCCATCTGCAGTACATTGCAGGCGGGCAGTCTTAATGTGGTTAATAAAGTGGTTAATCCAATATTTTTCTTTCCTGCTAATTGTATGAAGTTTGTGGAAGGGCGCAGTGAGCCCCCTTTTCCCTCTGGGACTGTGTTTCCCACACACTGTACACATGGATGATATGTCACTGGAATTTGATCTTTAGGCTGGTGTTGGACTATAAAGAATATTAGAGTACTGTAGCAATAATGGTCAACAGAACTACAGTATTTTCTGGCGTTTGAGACTACTTTTTATACTTAAACATAAAAACTTAAAAATTGGGGGTCGTCTTATACGTGGGGTATAAAATGTGAACCTTGAGTTTGTTTGGGTCAAGCTGGCTGGATGTGGGGTAATACTGTACATACAGATTACCGTGCTGAGCCAAGCTGGCTCAAAACAAATGTCCCTATGACAGATTAATCTGTCAGCCCGCTGGATGTGCCATATATACAGTATACTGCGCTGAGCCAAGTGGTTTTCAAAAAGTACCGGTACGTCCCTACTGTAATCAGCCCACTGGATGCGTGTATGTACAGTAGCTGCGGCTACATACAGTATACACTGGGCCAATCACGGCGAGTGATGTATTCTACTAATGAATACAAAGCCTGCTCGGATTGGCTGAGTCAGAGAGGTGGGCTGATGATGTTGCAACCTCAGCCAATCCGAGCAGGCTTTGTATTCATTAGTAGAATACATCGCTCGCCGTGATTGGCCCAGCGTATACTGTATGTAGCCTCAGCTACTGTACATACACACATCCAGCGGTCTGATTACCATAGGGACGTACCGGTATGTTTTGAAACAGCTGGGCTCAGTATACTGTATATACCACACATCTGTCATAGGGACATTAGTTTTGAGCCAGCTTGGCTCAGCACGGTATAATGTATGTACATTACCGCACACCCAGCGGGCTGTATATATACTGTATACTGTATGTAGCCGAAGCTACCGTATTACATCCAGCAGTAACCATCTGATTTGGAATTTGATCCATATGATGACTGTCTTACAAATGTATCACAAGATGTCATTCATGAACTTATGATGTCAGAGGATGAACATGAGGAGTTTGAAGGATTTTAAGTACTGGTAAGTCATAACCATTTCAATTAAAAAATCTGATGTTTTTAAATGGTGTTGCCTTGGAAGGGGGGTAGTCTTATACGGCGAGTATAGCCCAAAACCTATGTTTTAACTGGAAAATTAGGGGGTCGTCTTATACACCCAGTCGCCTTATACGCCCGAAAATACAGTAAATAAGAAAGTTTTTTTTTTTAGACATAAATGTGTGCATTCCTTGGTAGAATTTCGGGCTTTGTCAGCATCAGCGTTTTGTTCAACAATAATCTTGTTGGTCATTGTAATCTTAAAATGTAATCAGGTTGGAGTGGGCTTGTTTTGCATGACTCATGAGAAAACTACCATGGGTGGGCTATGAAAGACTATAAAAGGACAGTTGGTCTTAATGACTAGACACAAAGCCTACAGAGCATCCCATCTAAATCTTCCACATAACAGCAATAATGGTTCACTGGACTGCTGAAGAGAAAGCTGCCATCGCTTCCACCTGGGCCAAAGTTGACCTGGAAAATGACGGCCATAATGCCCTGAACAGGTATTAAACATATTAAACTTTTTATTTAGTAGGTAGGGTATTTTTTGTTTTAACCACTTGCCCTGCAGAAGATTTACCCCCCTTAATGACCAGGCCATTTTTTGCTATTCGGCACTGCACTATTTCAACTGGTAATTGCGCGGTCATGCAACGCTGTGCCCAAACAAAATTTTTGTCCTTTTTCACACAAATAGAGCTTTCTTTTAGTGTTATTTGATCACCAATTGTTTTTAATTTTTTGTGATACAAAAAAAAATGTTTAAAAAAACAAACAATATTTGTTACTTTAATTTATAAAAAATATATAGTAAACTCAAAATTAGTCATAATTTTAGGCCAAAATGTCTTTGGGGAAAAAAATCCAATACATTTATATTAATTGGTTTGTTATAGCATCTACAAACTATGATATATATTTTGGAATTTATGCAGTTTTTACTTTCTGACTGCACATCAAATTTCTTGAGGTGCTAAAATGCCAGGGCAGTACAAACCCCCCCCCCAAAAAAAGACCCTTTTTTGGAAAGTAGACACTCCCAAGGAATTTGCTGAGAGACATGTTGAGCCCATGGAACAATTTATTTTTTGCCACAAATTCTTGGAATATGACAAAATCTTTTTTTTTTTACACAAAGTTGTCAGGTAAATGATATATCGCTCACACATGCCATGGGTATATGTAGAATAACACCCCAAAACACATTCTTCTACTTCTCTCGAGTATGTGGATACCACATGTGAGAGACTTCTTGGGAGCCTAGCCACATACACGCCCACAAAATCCAATGACCACCTCCAGGCTTTCAAAGGGCTTATTTCTTTATATTACTTTCTCACTATCTATCACAGATTCGTGGACCCTAAAATGTCAGGATGGTACAAACGCCCCCCCAAATGACTCCTTTTTGGAAAGTAGACAACCCAAGGAATTTGATAGAGGCATGGTGAATATTTGCAGATATAATTTTTGTCACAGGGTTTTGAAAAATAGTAAAAGAAAAGAAAAAAAATCCATTTTTGTTTTCTTTCTTCGTTTTTCAAAAACTTGTGGCAACAAATGAGATCTGCAAAATGCTCACCGTGCCTCTTAGCAAATACATTGGAGTGTCTTCTTTCCAAAAATGGGTCATTTGTGGGGTGCTTCTACTATCCTGGTATTTCAGGGCCAACATTAGAAGCTTATGCCAGATATCACCCTCTTTTCTAACCACTTGAAGACCAAGCCTTTTCTGACACTTTTTGTTTACATGAAAAGCAGTTTTTTTGCTAGAAAATTACTTTGAACCCCCAATCATTATATAATTTTTTAAATAAAAAATAAATATAAAAAATAAATATAAAAGATGATGTTACGCCAAGTAAATGGATACCAACCACCATGGCATGCTTTAAAATTGTGTACGCACGCAAATTACGCAAATTTTTAATATCCACAGACGATGTTTTAAAAGCTTTTGTAGGTCACCACTTTAAATTTACACATGATGTCTAGTACAAGAATTACTGCCCTCGATCTGGCATTCGTGGTGATACCTGACATGCATGGTGCAATCTCTGTTTACATACTGCCATGAGACAGCCACTTGCATTTGCCTTTCTGTGTGAGCATGGACATGGGGGCGGGGGTGAATTTTTATTATTATTATTTACTTTTGTTTTTTTTTTATTATTTTTACACTCTTTCATTTTTTTTTAATCACTTGTAATTAATGGACTAATCACAGCTCGCCAGGAAGAGTAGCAAAGCTTTTATGAATCAGATTGATTTGTAAAACCTTTGTTGTCATTGTGATCATGTGATCGCATAGCAATCACATGATCATCGGGTCCCGAATACCGGTGATCGGGGCTGTGCAGCCCCCCCCCCCCCCCCAGTGTTGGAAAAAGACCAAGGACGTACAAGTAATATGTATTTTTTTCTGCAACTCTTGATCCCTTGATCTTTCTTCTTTCTTGACCCTATTATTGTAAATATATATATATATATATATATATATATATATATATATATATATATATACCGTATTTGCCGGCGTATAAGACGACTGGGCGTATAAGACGACCCCCCTACTTTTCCTGCTAAAATGTAGTGTTTGGGCTATACTCGCCGTATAAGACTACCCCTCTTCCAATGCACACCAGTGGGAGGAATAGTGCCCCATCATTGATGTCAGTGGGAGGAATAGTGCCCCATCATTGGTATCAGTGGGAGGAATAGTGCCCCATCATTGGTATCAGTGGAAGGAATAGTGCCCCATCATTGGTATCAGTGGGAGGAATAGTGCCCCATCATTGATGTCAGTGGGAGGAATAGTGCCCCATCATTGGTATTAGTGGCAGGAATAGTGCCCCATCATTGGCATTAGTGGCAGGAATAGTGCCCTATCATTAGTATCAGTGGAGGAATAGTGCTCCATCATTGGTGTCAGTGGGAGGAATAGTGCCCCATCATTGGTATCAGTGGCAGGAATAGTGCCCCATCATTGGTATCAGTGGCAGGAATAGTGCCCCATCATTGGTGTCAGTGGGAGGAATAGTGCCCCATCATTGGTGTCAGTGGGAGGAATGGTGTCCCATCATTGGTGTCAGTGAGGGGTGGAATAGTGCCCCATCATTGGTGTCAGTGGGGGGTGGAATAGTGCCCCATCGTTGGTGTCAGTGGGGGGGGGAATAGTGCCCCATCGTTGGTGTCAGTGGGGGGGAGGAATAGTGCCCCATCGTTGGTATCAGTGGGAGGAATAGTGCCCCATCATTGGTATCAGTGACACCAATGATGGGGCACTATTCCTCCCACTGAGACTTGCTGACCCTGTTCTCGTATGGTGCTGCTGCAGCCAGCATATGTGGTTGCAGCAGCACCTCTACACAGAACACTTACCTGCTGCTCCGGCACTCAATTTTCGCAGGGCCGCTCGGCTCCGCCCCCTCGCCGGTGATTGGCCGCCTGTGTGCCTTTCCTGAGCTACAGTTCTGGCGGCCAATCACCGGTGAGGAGGTGGAGCCAAGCAGCCGCACGAACATCCAGTGGCCGAACTGAAGGAGACGCCGCGCTGCCTGGACCGGATCGTTGTGGGACTGGATCCAGGTAAGAGACATCAGCCCCTGCAAACCCCTGTACTTAATGCTGCAGCCCCCCTAACATGTGTACCGGCGTATAAGACGACCCCCGACTTTTGAGAAGATTTTCAAGGGTCAAAAAGTCGTCTTATACGCCGGCAAATACGGTATATATACAGTGTATAAATTAGTTTATATTTATTTATATGCGATGTTGTTTGTAGCTGTTCTTTATTATGTATCATATATGGCTTCAAAAAATGTAGCTCTTATGTATTATTTTTTATTTAATAGGCTGTTCCTTGTCTATCCCTGGACCCAGAGGTATTTCAGCAGTTTTGGAAATCTGTCCAGTTCTGCTGCCATTTCTGGTAATGCCAAGGTCGGTGCTCATGGTAAGAAGGTGCTCGGTGCCATTGGCAATGCCATTCAGCATCTGGATAATGTGAAACACGTCCTGGCTGACCTCAGCAAACAGCATGCTGAAGAGCTCCATATAGATCCTGAGAATTTCAAGGTACAGATCTATAGTAAAATGGAATATACATTTTGCACACTTCAGTTGTTTTTTCTAAGGAGATCTAACTAAGTAACTACACTCACCGGCCACTTTATTAGGTACACCTAGCTAGTACCAGGTTGGATCCCCTTTTGCCTTCAGAACTGCCTTTATTCTTTGTGGCACAGATTGAACAAGGTGTTGGAAACATTCCTCAGAGATTTTAGTCCATATTGACATTTTACTGTTGCCTTTCTATCATCTCGAACCAGTCTGCCCATTCTCCTCTGACCTCTGACATCAACAAGGCATTTTGGATACTACTGGATATTTGCTCTTTTTCAGACCATTCTCTGTAAACCCTAGAGATGGCTATGCATGAAAATCCCAGTAGATCAGCAGTTTTTGAAATACTCAGACCAGTCTGTCTGGCACCAACAACCATGCCACATTCAAAGTCACTTAAATCCCCTTTCTTTCCCATTCTAATGTTCAGTTTGAACTCCAGCAAGTCGTCTTCACCACTGCTAGATGCCTAAATGCATTGAGTTGCTGCCATGTGATTGGCTGATTAGCAATTTGTGTTACCAAGCAATTGAATAGGTGTACCTACTAAAGAGGCCAGTGAGTGTATAACATTGGGTAGGTGTCAGCTATTAATCACTATATACAATTACATAGTTTGTCTGGCTGAAAAAAGACAAAGTCCATCCAGTTCAACCATTACTAAAAAAATAAAATTATATATATGTATATATATATATATATATATATAGGATTATCTATTACAACAGAGACAATACGCAAAGTGCAAGTAACTTGGCTGAATTTAAATTTACACTACTGTGGTTGTAAAGGCTCAAGGTTTGTTACCTTCATGCATTCTATGTGCAGCATACCTTCACTGTGCAGCAGCCCCCCCCCCCCCCCCTTAATGCTTACCTAAGCCCCCTCTCGATCCAGTGATGTGTACTGGAGTCTCGGCTATCCCAGGACTCCCTCTCCTCATTGGGTGAGACAGTCAATGTTGTCAATCACAGCCAGTGAGCCAATGAGAAAAGGGAGGGGGTGGGGCCAAGACGTAGCTCCATGTGTAAAAGGGGAATGTTCATGCTTGGGTACCCCCATAGCAAGCTGCTTGCTGTGGGGGCACCTGACAGGAATGAGGGGCCAGAAGCAACGGGGGGGACCTGAGAAGAGGAGATCCTGGGCAGCTTTGTGCTAAACCACTGCACACAGCAGGTATGTGTAGACATGGTTTTTTTTATTTTAATTTAAGCCTTTAGAATCTTTTTAAGATAGAGCTGTCAGAATATTGAAAGACAATTCACATACGGTTACTATAGGATGTTGCCTAGTTATTTGCCTTATTTAGTATGGCTGTTCATAGATATATTTCACTGAGTACATGCAACTCTATTGTAAACTGTGGGGGGCCTCCCCACTTGCACCACCAGTAAGTCCTATGAGATGTAATGTTACTCACACCTGAAGCTATTACAGCACTTTGAGCTGTGGAGACAACTTCTGCTACACAGGAGGACATACACAAAACATTTTCATTTTGGACAAAATGTAAAAAAAAAGGACAGGCAGGAAATAAATGTGGAAAAAAACATTCTCAACATTTGTTTATGTATACAATGCCAACCAATTTACTCTGTAAACCATATTGCATGTCATAATTATAATTGTTCTTTCTGTTCACAGCTTTTTGGTGAGGTGCTGATTATTGTTTTGGCCACCAAGCTGGGATCTGAATTCACCCCTCAAGTCCACGCTGCCTGGGAGAAATTCAATAATGTCTTGGTGGCTGCTCTGAGCCATGGTTACTTCTAAATGGCTGTGTCATTATTTCTGGGGAAGGGAAAATAAATTATTTGAAAACTAAAACTGTGCTTATGTCTTTATCACTGTACAATGTTTATGGTAATTATAAACAGAGGACATACATGGGCAAATATTTGCAACCATTTAAAATAAAGTATTTGTTATAAAGTTTGTTCCAAACCCATTACATATTGTCAAATTCAATTACTTTACCTCCCTATTAATTCATGTACAGTTTATATTACAAAATATTATTTTATTATTAATAACATGTTTTCCCTTTTATATTAAAATCAACTACTTCTATACATATGCCGTGCAATTAAAATGTGTCTAAATCCAAAACCATATTTAGTTTTGGATAGAGAAGAGAATATTTACACCCTTATTTTTTCCCTCACTTCCTGTTTCAGAGACACAAAAATAGGTGAGATGAAATCTCTCCAAAGTGAAAGGAAATCCCTTAATAGACTGTTGTCAGCAGAGCAGGTATCCCTATTTGAACTTTATTCTTCCTTTCTTGTTCCAGTGGTAATCATAAAATGTTGATTTTCACATCATTCTTTGTCCCAATGGTAATGGTCACCAGAACAAAAAGAGGATGATTTCCTCATCAGGCACGTAGACAGAAATAAACTGCTAATAAAAGTTGCAATCCTTCCCTATAATACCCCAAGTCTAAAAATAAAAAGTTCTGATTATACATACACTTAAAAGCAAAATGTTATGATTTGCAGATTACATAGTTGAAAAAGGTCAATTTTTTCTAATTCTTTCAATCTGCATGTACTGTATATACTAAGAAAATCTACTGTCAAATGCATTACCCAAGAGAACTCAATCTTTCCTTTACTCCAGTTGTATTCATCTGTTTAGGGGAATATTGTACCTGCTGTCTGGGCCTCTACTCGCATGATGGTGTGGTCGCTGTTTACTAGTTCTCATTTATACACACAGCACCTACTTATGTTAGGCTTCATTCATACAGGCATATGCATGTGATGTAAAGACCCCCCAAATTATATATCAAGCCCTTCTGGTATGTATTTTAAGTGGCAACACAAATAGTTAAAACTTGTGAGGTCCCTCTGAAAATCTACACCAGTGCCTTGTCAAAGCATGAAGCATGGCAGGCCATGAAAGGAGGGAAAGATAAGCATTCCTCCCCCCCTAAACTGTACCAGGCCACATAACCTCCCTGGCAAGGCATTTGTCCCCATAATGATATGGAAAGGGGCCTCTTCCCTACAATTCTGACAAGGCAGTTGTGGGGGTCTGAAGGCAGGGGCGAACCATACTTTGAAAGATTTCTATCAATAAGGGGACCCCCAGGTACTGCCCTCCCATGTGAATGAGTAAGAGCTACATAGTGCCCCTTCTCATTCCCTCAGAAAATTGTAAAGTAGGTTGGGCTGCATGTGTCTTTTTTTCAGCCAAACTAGCTATGTAGTAAACACAGACACAGTTTCTGACAAGAACTTTATTAGGAAAAAATCCCAAAATGTGCAGATAACATCATTCAAATTATCCAGTGATGTATATCAATGTCAATTATGACGCCCAAAGCTCGCACACTTGCCAAAAGAAATAAAACCTGTGGACAAACATCTGGTCCCGTTGTTTCACTACTGCAGACAAATAGTTCCGTCATATAACAGCCAGTATAAAGAAAGGGTGGGGTCTGCTTGGTGATGTACAGTAGAAGTCACCTATGTGTTGGAGGGGGTGTGGGATTAAGGACACAATGGCACATATATGGTGGGATTGCTCCAAGATACAGGAGTACTGGGAAGAAATAACTCACCAAATACAGCAGATTTTGGGGACTAGTATCTCAAAGGATCCTGGTATATGCTTAGTCCATAAAACTGAGATTTTAGTGGAAAAATACAAGAATATGATAATATTCCATTTGATAAAAGCAGCAAAGGGAATAATACCTACATTTTGGTAAGCTCAAGAGGCACCAAAAATAAAAGATTAGATAGGGTGGATTACATATATAGTATGGAGGAACTCTACCATATTGCAGAAGATAAAATGGAGAAATTTAAAAGAACATGGGAAAAATGGAATGAGTTTAAAAGTACAAATAGATACGTTGAACTAGTAGGAGTAGAGAATGAAGAGAAGAATAATATCTAAAAAGATAGGGAAAAGAGAATTAAGAGGAAAGGAAGGAAAAGAAGGAATATACAGAGAGTATAGGAGAGATAGGAGGAATAGGGAAAAAAAGGGAAAAATGGGTTTTGAAATTATTAGTAATGTGACGATTTATTTTTTGTGATGTGGAAACAAATAAAATATTAAATAAAAGAAAAAAGTAAAGTAACAGGAGTCTACTAACCTGTAAGTGACAACTAATATTTCCTATTAGTAATAGTAATATTGTAACTGGGATAATGAGTGCTAGCAGGGTTGAAGGTTTTGTGCAGTGCACAATGTGCCACGTGCATGCAACAATGGAGCTACAGCTCCAGGATGGATGCCGCTGTGACAGATGTGAGTGGCTTGCGCTTCTGGAAACCCGTGTTACAGATCTGGAGGAGCAAGTTGCAACACTGGGCAGAACAGGCTTTAAAATTGTGTACGCACGCAACGGCGACAAATTACACAGATTTTTAATATCCATAGGCAATGTTTTAAAAGCTTTTATAGGTCACCACTTTAAATTTACATGAGATGTCTAGTGCTAGAATTACTGCCCTCAATCTGGTGTCCGTGGCGATACCTGACATGCATGGTGCACTCTCTGTTTACATATTGCCATGAGACAGCCACTTGCATTTGCCTTTGCGCGTCAGCATGGGGATGGGGGTGGGGGTCGATTTTTATTAGTATTATTTACTTTGTTTTTTAAATTATTTTTACACTGTCTCTTTCATTTTTTTAATCACTTTTAATTGTGATCACAGGGAATGTAAATATCCCCTGTGATAGCAATAGGCAGTGACAGCTATCTATGGTGCAATACCTCCCTGAACAGACACATTATTATTGGGTTAATTTTCAGGCTGGACAGCTTCATATAGTCAGTTTATTGTCCTTTTACCCTGTCCAGGTTGTTTTTCAGTTCATTATTCCCCTGGCAATTAACAGTTGGTGGTAATATCCCAATCTGCCGTTTTGGCATATCGGTCTTTCCTCCTGATTATTCAGTGTCGCATCAGGACTGCATTCTAATGAGCACAGGCATAATGACCGCCAGTGGCTCCCTAGGCGCATGCGTGGTGTTCATTTTGTCTGCAGTTATTATACTACATGAAAATGGCCGCGGCGCACTCATACTGCGCATGCATGACTTTACCGCGATGACGTAGCGGGAACGTACGGCGCATGCACGCCACTATACATAAATACGATCATGTCTCCTTCATGCACCCCCCTTTGAAAACGTGCACAGCGCACGAAACGCGTCAGGGAGGTGACCCCCAGATATCTTGACATACCGCATGGGCATTGCTGGACGGCCGTCAGTAATTTAATTCAAAATCTGTAAGTGTGTTTTTCATTTTTATGTTTACTGCATCAATAAACTTACTACACTATCAAAGCTTCTGGCCTGGGGCTCTTTTGTATTGAGGGAGCCCGGGCTTTTTGAAGGTGTTCATCAAAATCCTGTCCATCTGCAGTCTGATGATCTGGATAATACCTCCATTGGCTGATGTTGATATCCCTGGAACCTTGTCCTTTTTGGCCTGGGAGATATGACATCTAGTGGCAAGATATAAGATGACAACCACCTATCCAGTGGCCTATATCCAGAGCACTAGGAGTAGGTCTTAATTACTCCATGCTTCATCTGCTTATGCATCTGGTTAGTGCAACCTATACTCAGTACAATTACCACAAGAGTCACGAGCATTCTAGTCTATCGTTTGCTGATGCATCACAGAAGTCACGTTTACCCTGTATGATCTACATGCTATGTTAACCTACAAGTTCTGCATCATATTTGAACTATAACCATTGAATTTACTTATTTATGTCTAATTTGGCACTGAGCGCTGCATATTTGTATTGTCTATTTACCACTTGAAGTTCCAGAGGTTTACTTTCTATGTCAGCTGCTAGCCTTTCTTCTTTTGTAGACACCTAGCGCTTGGTTTTATCTGTCTTCTCAGGCAGTGACAGGTACTCTTTTCTGAGAAATCTGGGGTCTATTAGATTCTAGATCTCTCCTCTTCCCTTAAAGCATCTGATCACCCCAAGATAGGTGTGATCAGATGCTTTCCCAATTTTAAAATGGCGCTGTTTATATCTGGCAAAACGTAAATGATGAAATGGTTGTAGCTTCTGGTCTCTTAGACCATAGAGATGATTGGAGGCATTCCAGTCACCAATCAGCTCTATTCTCAGCCAGCAGAACTGCCAGATTAATTTTTGGGTTTCTCTGTGGGACGGGAGAGCCCAAGAAAACCTTGGAAGGCGGCAGGAGGGGTGGGGGAGTCCTTTCCTGCTGCTTGCAAAAATGATCCAGCAGCCAATTAGTGGCCATAATTGTTTTTACATAAAACCCAACTACCAGCTGAAAAAAACAATACCAGGATGATACTTGTTGCTGCAGATATCGTCCTGGTATAACCACTCAAAGTCTAGCAATGTACCAGTACGTTGCTGGTCCATATTGGGTATATAAATAACAGCAGAGAATATGGGCATGATGAATCGGGTCTGTGGACCAATATGACCGCAATTTATTCTTTATTGTAATGCCCATGAGGGTTAGGCCCAAAAAAAATTTAAATTCAGAAATTGTAATAGGTTTCCATGCAAATTGTCTGGCAAGAGCTGAATTTGGGTGGGTGGCGATGTATTATTGTGCATATAAATTACTTTGGCCCACAATCAGCTGATACAAATTTTTCTGTGAAAAACAGTGGAGGGGCTAATCGCTAGTGCTGGCAGCAAACAGGGCCAATCCTGCTAACACTGTATTTTGGGGGACACTATACAAAGGAGGCACTAGTATAGTTCAGTTCATGATCAATATATTGATCTGTACAACA